AGGCTCAGTGGATAGAGCGTCAGCCTGCAGACTGAAAGGTCCCAGGTTCGATTTCGGTCAAGGGCATGTACCTTGGTTGCAGGCACATCCCCAGTTTGGGGTGTGTAGGAGGCAGCTGATCGATGTTTCTAACTCTCTATCCCTCTCCCTTCCTCTCTGTAAAATATCAATAAAATATATTTTTTTTAAAAGCCAGGCTACTATTTGAGGCATTGAGTTATATAATATAATACATATTTTAACGACTTTGGTCCAAAATGATTAAAACAGAATTTTGAGATGAATGATTGATAAAGTGTTAGCTGTGTGGAAAACTTTGCTATCCAGAATAATTCTTTGAAAGATTAAAATAGCTTTAGTATATAAACTATTTTAAATGACTCATAAAGCTAAAGTCACTTTTCTAATTTAAAAAGCACATGAACCCAACTCCATCCACCTATTTAAAAAATAAAAAAGCCCATGAAAACGTAATTTTTATAACAGGTTTGTTTGTAAAATTTATATTTGGAAATGTAAAAGCCCCTTAAAATACTGGAAATGTTTAAGAGGGAGGTTCATATTTATAAAACTAAATAAGGCCAATAGCTGGTGTCCTAAAGAGGTATCATGTATCTTTGCTATCATCAATATTTCCCTGTGCCTTCTGCCCACATTGGGCCAGCAAGCATGCATGCACTCTTGTCCTCACATTCCTCTTTGGTAGTTGAAAACTCTTAGGGTAAATTATTAGAAACATAGGTTTGAAGAGATTTTGAGAGATAATTTAGGGCACAAATAAGTTTTTTTTTCTTTTTTAAAAACAACAACACCTCAGTGCCTTAAATAATCACTTAAACTTATTTAAAGGTATCTGTACCCCGAATCAATTCTGCCTCACCTCTCTAAATTTCTGAGTTAATCACTGCTAAAAATTGTAGAGCTCTTTCCCATTGTTTTCCTAAGTTCATATTGGTATATCTAGCATGCTATGTATTTTTAGATGTTTTGTAACTGCGTAAGAGATCTTTTTGACTTTGACCTTTCATTTTCCAAGGCCGATGTATGAAGTGAGGAGAGCGGTGCAATGGAGAGAATATAGGCTCTTGAGTTTGACAGCCCTGGCTTTGAATTTTATTGGCTCCTTTTACTGAGTTTAATATGATCTTGGGCAAGTTACCTCACCTTACTAAGTCTCATTTTCCTTATCTGGAAACAATAAGATCTCCCTCTCAGTGGGCTGGGAAAGGTTAAATGGGGTAACAGGGCCCTAGCCAGTTTGGCTCAGTGGCTAGAGCGTCGGCCTGCAGACTGAAGGGTTGCGGGTTTGATTCCTATCAAGGGCACATACCTTGGTTGCAGGCTAGATCCCTGGCTCTGGTCTGGGTGCATGTGGAGGCAACCATTTGATGTGTCTCTCACATTGATGTTTCTCTCTCTCTGTCTCTCCCCCTCCCACTCTCTCTAAAAATCAATGGAAAAATATCCTCTGGTGAGGATTAACCAACAACAAAAAAATGGGGTAACAGGGCTTTCAAGTTCTGAAGGTTTTGGGAACCTTATCTACTTGGTAGGTTTCTTTGGGAACCCTAAGGCAAACTAAGGATCTCTCCCCAGGAAAACGCATAAATGTACCCAGCTTCCCACCAGCTCCCTCCGAAGAACCACCCCATCCCTCAGCGGCAAGGACTGAGTGATTTTCTGCTCTCAGTATGTGCCTGGCACTGGTTGAAGGCATTCTAGCTCATTTAAGCAGATGGTAGTGGAAATAATTAGGAAGTGGATGTGGGTGTTAGCTTTTGTTTTTTATTTACACAAGTCTTAGAAAAGAACAACCATTGCTAATATTTAAGCTCTTTAAGCAAAATTAGCCAAAGAAATATGGTTCTTTAGCTTTAACACTTATTTGAAAGAGCATAACTGAAAGTTTTAAACTTTAGAATTATTCATCTTTCTCTTTATTCACAGAGTAGACAAGAAAGAAACTTATTTAAATTTTTTTTTCTTTTAGGCTTTTAAATCCCATGCAGGCTCAGTTTCAAATGTGTTGATCCAAAAAGCTGTTACAGGTAGTAGATGAATGCAGAATATTCATGTTCATTTGTTAAAATTTCTGTAATACTTATTCTTTGTTTCTACAATTAATAGTAGGTAAACTGGTGACTCTCCATTTTGAAAGACTCTTCTTCAGTTAAGGAGACATCTTAGGCCCAGCCTGTGTGGCTCAGTTGTTGAGCATCGATCTATGAACCAGGAGGTCACGGTTCGATTCCTGGTCAGGACACATGCCCAGGTTGCGGCTGGATCCCGAGTAGGGGATGTGCAGGGGGCAGCTGATCAATAATTCTCTCTCATCATTGATGTTTCTATCTCTATTTCTCTCTCCCTTCCTCTCTGAAATAAATAAAAATATATTATTAAAAAAAATGAAACATCTTAGCTCCAAGTATTGAGACAGTGGAAGGCAGATGGAGAAATGCATCCTTTGACAGGTGGGTAGTGTCTGGGGTGGGGAGTGTGTTGGGGTTTAGGGTTCTAGTAAACTTGGTTGGGGCTGAATGGTGTGCTCTCTACTATCTTTCAAGCTACAAGAGCTAAATGCACTGCTCATGACTGGACTGATCAACATAATGAAAGTTTCATACGCCGAAACCGGTTTGGCTCAGTGGATAGAGCGTCGGCCTGTGGACTGAAAGGTCCCAGGTTCGATTCCGGTCAATGGCATGTACCTGGGTTGCGGGCACATCCCCAGTGGGAGATGTGCAGGGGGCAGCTGATCGATGTTTCTCTCTCATCAATGTTTCTAACTCTATCTCTCTCCCTTCCTCTCTGTAAAAAATCAATAAAATATATTTTTTTAAAAAAGGGAAGTTTTATACTTTCGTTTTATGATTTTGCTTAGGAAAAGGTTCACATAGAAATTTAATCTTGAATGTACTTACTGTTGGTTTCATTTTTATTTTAGATTGGGATTTAAATAAACATTTTTTCCTCTTGTTTTTCCTGATAATAGGTACTATATTAGAGAATTCTATTCATCTTGGTATGGTATTTAAAAAACAAGAACAAACTGTTATGAAGGTAACTCATGGTCCCTAACTTGAAAGGTAAAAGCAGGCATGCCGTGAAGTCCAGTGGACTTCTGCTCTGGCCCCACTCACCCAGTTTCTCTCCATTAATATATTCCTTTCTTTTTTTTTTTTTTAATACATTTTTACTGATTTTTTACAGAGAGGAATGGAGAGGGATAGAGAGTTAGAAACATCGATGAGAGAGAAACACCGATCATTGCCTCCTCCATGCCCCCTACTGGGGATCACACCTGCAACCAAGGTACATGCCTTTTTTTTAAAAAATATATTTTATTGATTTTTTACAGAGAGGAAGGGAGAGGGACAGAGAGTTAGAAACATCAATGAGAGAAGCATCGATCAGTTGCCTCATGCACACTCCCCACCAGGGATGTGCCCGCAGTCACGGTACATGCCCTTTACTGGAATCGAACCTGGGACCCTTTAGTCTGAGGGCCGACGCTCTATCCACTGAGCCAAACCGGCTAGGGCAGGATTATGGTTTTATGGCTAAAGAGTACTGAGTTTCTTTTTGAGGTGATGAAGGTGATTTAAAATCGATTGTGGTGATGGTTCACAGCTCTAAACTCTAAAAGCCTGTGAATTGTACACTTTCAGTAGGGTGTACAATTAAATCTCAGTAAAAGTGTTATGAAAAATCACTAAAAGAACTGAAAAACTATAAATTGCCCTAGCTGGATTGGCTCAGCAGATAAGAGCGTCGGCCTGTGGACAGAGGGGTCCTGGGTTTGATTCCGGTCAAGGGCACATGTCCCGGTTGTGGCTCCCTCACCAGTAGGGGGTGTGCAGGAGGCAGCCAGTCATGATTCTCTCTCATCATTGATGTTTCTGTCTCTCCCTCTCCCTTCCTCTCTGAAATCAATAAAACAAACAATCAAAAACTATAAATTAACAAGTTTCATTCCTCAGGTAGCTTTCTTATTAAAATTGATCTTAGGATAGGCCTCAGGTTTTCCTTGGTGAAAATTATTTATGCTCCTCATCTTCCAAATTTCTTGCTCATTATATTTGGATATGGCTTTACACCATGCTTTCTGGTGTTATGTGGGGTTTATTATGATTATGCTTCTGAGAAATTCTATTATGTGCTAAAAGTTAAAAAATCTTCATTTTATTTATCTTTGAATAGACTTTCATCAATATTTAAAGCCAATATTGTTGTTTTGTAACCCTATTCCTAATACTAATGGTTTTCAAGGGATAGGTTTGAAAATTATTTTTTTTAATTGAGGAAGATGATATTAATAGTACTCATTTTTTTCACCCTCTGTATTGCTTTTGTGTAAAGGGTCTGTGTTAATAATATGTGCCCAGCTAGTATATAGCAGTTAAATATCTCATATAAAGTAGAGTTAGGAACTAGTAGTTAAATGTATAATGTAGTGTTAAAATGATCACTTTGCATTTGGTTTGAGATTAATACTTCTGAAGTATGTTATTGGGGCATATTAATTGCTTTAAGTTTCTGCAGTAATGAAATTTAACAAAGGACATTTTTTAAAACCTCGTCATTAATTTTTAAATAAACTTAATACCTATGGATTACACTTGAGAAACAATGCTCTATAGAATGCATTACATTTAGAAGTGAAATTAAAAAAAAAAAATCCTCACCGAGGACATGCTTAGAGGAAGTGGGTGGGGGAGAGAGAGAAAGAGAGAAACATCGAAGAGAGAGCGATACATTGATCGGTTTGCCTTCCATATGTACCCCAAATCCAAAACCCTGTTCGGGAATTGAACCTGCAATCTTTTTTTTTTTTTTTTTTAAATTGCTTAACGTATTACAAAGGGTATTACATATGTCTCCTTTTTCCCCCCGCCCTTGACAATCCCCTGGCCTCCCCTTTTTTTTTTTCCCCGGCCTTCCCGCTTGAACCTGCAATCTTTTGGTGCACAAGATGATGGTCAACCATCTGAGCCACTCCGCTAGGCTAAAAGTGAAATTAAAAAATTTTTGAACGAATTAAAGAGTCTTCAATATTACTTTGTAAATTCTGAATTAGGCTTAGAGTGTGGCATCAAACTGTAACTCAAAATAGCCCATTTCCCCTTAATGCATTAGTTTTGTAAGAAATGAAAGTATTACATGTATAGTATTTTTAAAGTATCATGAAAAACAACACACTTTTCATCTCTCTTCCTAGAGGAAAATATTTCTGTTTTGGTTCTTCATCAATTTTGAATAATACTAGTATATAAATTACAAAGTTTAAAATAAACCTTATTGAAGTAACACATACATTCAGTAAAGTATACAAAACACAAATGTTTAGGCTTAATGAATTTTCACAAAGTGAGCATCCATGTTGCCCCATCTAGATCAAGACAGAATATTACCAAGCCCTGCAGAAGGCCCTGCCTTCAACAGTAATCACTATCCTGATTTCCAGCACCATCGGTTGGCTTTGCCAGTTTTTGAACTTTATTAAATCGTTTCCTAGAGCAGCGGTTGCCACCCGGTGGTCCGTGAGGTCCAAAAGGTTGGTGACCGCTGGTTTAAGGAAACCTTTGGAGCAGCGGTTGCCAACTGGTGGTCCATGAGGTCCAAAAGGTTGGCGACTCCTGTCCCAGAGTATATATTCTTGTGACACCTTCCTTGCAACGTCTGTCTTTGAGACTCATATGTGTTGCTGTATGTTGTAGTAGTTCATTGTCATTGCTGGATGGTCTGAACATGTTAGAATGATCCATTCTTCTGTTGATAGAAATTTGAGTTGATTTCATTTTGGGGTAATTACAAATAGTGTTGCTCTAGACCAGTGGTTCTCAACCTTCTGGCCCTTTAAATACAGTTTCTCATGTTGTGACCCAACCATAAAATTATTTTCGTTGCTACTTCATAACTGTAATGTTGCTACTGTTACAAATCCTAATGTAAATATCTGATATGCAGGATGGTCTTAGGCGACCTCTGTGAAAGGGTCGTTCGACCGCCAAAGGGGTCGCGACCCACAGGCTGAGAACCACTGCTCTAGACATTTCTTGGCCTTTGGCTGCACGTATGTACACACTTGGGTAAAATCCTAGGACTAGAATTAACTATATTGGTAGGTATCCATATTGCTAAAGAATTTTTCAAAGTAGCTGTACCAACTTGCTCTTTCAAAAGCACAGTACTTGATTTGTCAACATCTATATATATAATCTATCTACACTAATAAAAGAGAAACATGGTAATTAGCGTATGACCGCTACCCTTTTCATTGGCTAATCAGTGAGTATATGCAAATTAACTGTCAGCCAAGATGGCGGCCGGCAGCCAGGCA